AAAAAAAAAAAAAAAAAAAAAAAAAAAACAATCAATAGCCGGTCAGGCTGGCCGTCTCACAGGTGCCATTGAGAAAAGAATAAAAAGGTTTGTGTCGTAAAAAAAAAAAAATAATAATAATAAAAAGAGAAGAATATAAGCTCATCAGACCAAAAAAGTAAATAATAAAAAAAATGGATTGCTTAAATCGCTCCTGTGAGGATCACGCAGACATCGTGTGCCCTCGTCCTACACTACAGTCCGTCGTCAACCAAAAAAAAAATAAAAAAATAGAAAAAAATCAGTCAATCAATCTCCTCCCACTGACACGTGTACTCACAGCGCCACGTGGCGCACAACCATGACAGGCAATCGTGTGTAGTCGGCAATCAAGTCATTAATTAATTAATCTTCTCTCCACATCGTGATTGGTGATTGCAACACATCACCGTAGCAATTGGTACACATCAGGTCCTCATCATCTATAGGGGCATCCGACAAAATTGGAACGACACAAAGATTGATTGGCTTGAAGACACCAATCAAATCAAAAGCCACGCAGAACCAACGGGCCTTTACCTCAGCTGGTACGTCTATGGGCCTCGGCGCACTATTCGCCATCGGCCACAATTTTGATTGCATGTGGACATCATTTTGTCCAGATGCATTCGAAATCTTGGCGGATGGCGAGTAGTGCAACAAGGGCCTATAAATTGTTGAAATGCAGACCTGAGTTCGAGACGATGTGGGACCAGATGAAAAAAAAAAAAATCTTGAATTAACCTAGCAGGTAGGGCCGGTCAGATTCACGGTGATATCTGAGGACTGTCGCCCCCCTGCCCCCTGGAAAAAAGCCCCCTGGGGTAAGTCCCACTACCACCGTTTTGAGCTACCTCAACGCCTGAATGTGGACGCTTTTGCGAAGTTGTGCAGAAATGGTGTCGAGTTTCCTGAACTGCACGTCTCCACAAACACATCCAGATGCAGGCGTTGAGGTGGCTCAACGCTGCTAGTGGGACTTCGCCCCCGAAGAAACGCCTCCTTGGGCGATGAGTGTAGAGTGTGGGCATCGCCGAACCACTCACGGAACGTGAAAAAGGCAAAACCTCTGGCAAATCATGCTCTGCCATTCTCTGCATCCTTTTCTCTGATCCTAATACAGGTCCATTTAGCTCAGATCGTTCAGTTTCTATGTGTTTTTATGAGTTCCGGTTCCTGTTGGTGCCCTAAAAAGCGAAACTGAAATAGGGAAGGTTGTCACTGAATTTGACCCGATCAGTGATCCCGACGACCCCAAGCTGGGTAACTTGAAATACCAGCTTCATCCAAGTGCAGAAGAGAGGTTTAGACCTCGACTCAAGGTATGGACAGGCACGGATTACCTGATGGCTGACTTGGTGAACTCTAACACACCCTGGTGCTCAAAATGTAACAGATATGGGAACAAGGCGGAAGATTGCCCGTACTGTTACTTCTGCAACAGATACGGCCACTTCACTGAGGATTGCAAATCTGACCCTGATCTCAATCAGAAAAGCAACCCTCAATCGTCGCACCGAAGGCAGGCATCACATTGGTTTAGTCCTCATGTCTGCACCTCGGACCTCAACAGGAGGCGGAACGAGTGGGCAGGTACTTATCGCTCATATGAACCGTCCCCGTCATGGGGGGAGAGAAGGCCCTACAAAGGGAACCATGATCCTTCCTCTCGGCCTATGATGGGACAGAAGATGGACATGGCCAGTAAAGGTAATGGGAAATTGCCCTCAGAAGGTAAAACTGCCTCGCGCCCCGTGGGCGGCCTACCAGGAGGCTTCTCCGGTGGGATCCCATCTCAGAATGGAAGAACGAGAGAATGGACAATCCCGTCTGATCCAATCCACAGTCAGGCAGGGTCGGGCCTACTGGCTATCACAGAGGCCGGGGAAGACGGCAAGCAAAAGGCTTCTCAGGAACCGTCCCCCAGCCACTCTGGCCCTACCACAGGTTTCAGTCCAACTGGGACTTCCTCGCCACATCAGCCTCCCAAGAAGCCACGCACAGAGGACTCCAACATGGAAAATGTAACTCAGCCTTCTTCAACTCCCCCTCCGCTAGTTGGGCCTGTGTCCCCTGCGACAGCACAGGACAATCCCTTCGTGCTTTCCCCGTTGGTTTTCAAGCAATGCAACCAAAACGTCATGCTCCTACTCCTGAGGGATGATGAGAACAAGTTATTCCTCCCATCTTCTACCTCTGCAACCTTCCCCCAGCCTGCGAACTTCATGCAATGGGCCAGGAAAACGCTAGATAAAAGGTACTTTGTTCGTCCTGTACCTGCTCTGCCCATGTCCTCAGCCTACAGAAAGGGGCAATCGGGCAAAACCCACCCAATTCTCAGCTTGGGTATTGAAGCAGTACTCGCGCCTGGTATGGATCCCCAGACCGCGGACAAAGGACTGTTTTGGGCCCCCATTTCCTGGTTCAAAAAGAGCAACCGGAAGGAAAAAATTTATCCTTCCTTGGGAGATGGTATCTCCGGAGATATCATCGCTGAACTTGATGCACCCATCCCACGAGAAAGATCGTTGTTCTCAAGATACATCCCTGAGACAATGAAATTCCTGTGGGATGCTGCCGACATGATCACCCACACTAACCATGACACCTCCTCTCATTCGCCTATCCACATGAAGGCTCTGGCGGGCTCCGCCCATGGACAGTAGGCTCCGGGTAGCTACCTGGAATGTACGCGGATTGGTAGACAACAACGGGAAACATAAGCGCTCCCACCTAAAGTCATGGATACACTCCAACCACGTCTCTATGATGCTGTTGCAAGAGACAAAGCTCTCAAAGGACAAGGTGTCCACTATGCCAAGTGGTGGAGTGGACCCCAAACATGGGCTCCGGCCCAAGGTTCAAGGGGAGGCACAGGTATTCTAATCCATAGTAAGCTCTTACCGTTTATTCACGAATCCGGTTTTGACCCACAAGGTTATTGGTCGTGGACGACACTGAACATTGATAACAGTAAATGGGGTTTTATGTCTGTATACGTCCCGTCTGAGCATGCAGGGAAAGCACAATTTATTAATGACCTTAGTGATAAGATTCCACCCGTCGACTTCCTGATCATTGGGGGTGACTGGAATACGGTCCCTAATCCGGACCTCGATTCAACCACCCCCTTCTCTCATCCGAATGAATCTGCTGCAATTAACGACTTGATGGTAGATAACGGTCTATTTGATCCATTCCGCTCGCTACACCCCGAACTACGGGAGTATACTTGGTCTTCATCTACCCCATCCGAATCTAATATCCTTACGGAACGTAGACTTGACTTCTTCTTGACTAATGATAAGAACGGTGTTTTCGTTAAAAGTGAAATTGTTTTCATGTTCACTTTTTATTTTAATTGTAAAATGACACAAAGAACTAAGGGAAAAATAAGCAAACAACGAGAAAACAATGGTTATTCATGAAAGCTATTGAAGGAAATTAAACATAAATTTTCACCTCGAATGTTCACATGTACACAAGCCGCAAACATGTTGACATGTCACTCAGTAAAACACGCCAACCTCATCAAAAACTGATGAGAAGTCTAGGAAATGTCATTATACATTGTTGGCAATCCACTCTATAAACATGTCACTCAGTAAAACACGCTAACCTCATCAAAAACTGATGAGAAGTCTTAGATTAGGAAATGTCATTATACATTGTCAACATATTTTCAAAATTGCCTACAATACACATTTTCACCCAGAATGTTCACACTAAGTAAAAATGTCAACCTCATTTTTCCAAACCTAGAACCTGAATTCTCATTGACTTTCCTATCTAACCATTGACAAAATGTCAAATGTTATTCTAAGTCTCATATCAGGAATACTATCTTGTGAGAAACCGAACGGAGGGAAGTGACCTTTTGAAAGCAAAGATGCAAAACCTAACATAAAAACACCACAACTAGAAGAATCCTCTTGAGCGGGAATCCCATCTACTGATGTATCAAAGTAGGATGTAGGCTCCTCCACATGATATTTTTCCCGAAGATTTTGTCGCTGAAACTCCGCTCTGAAAAAACCTGCCAAAAGTTCGAGGGTTGGACCGTAGTCAACACGATGGACAGAGTCTACGAGGCGGAATTTACACTCAGAGCGATCTATACTAACATAAGTTAAGGCTCAATGATTTTCGAAATGGAGAGGGATAATTACCAAATCAAAATTGAAAAAATTTATGTCCTTCACCCATCTCGTCCCTTCAGAGTATGTGATTTCAACGAACTGAGCTTTTAACAATCTGGGAAAGAAAAAAGAATTTAGAATATGCACAGATGGAATGGTACAAGAACTTTCATCCTTTGCCACTTCTGCACATGTCGAGTCCACCTTCTTGATGTAGTCATTGGTGATCTGAACGGCTAACAGGTACAAATTGACGACTTCATCATTTAACCATTCCCCATCTTTGGCGGCGAGCATGACGTCTTTTTTTTCCACCTTCCACCTCCCCTTGTAATCGGCAATGCCGTATTCTTCATTCTCTTCAGTGTTGCCGGTAACTATTTCAAGATACTCCTTTTCTTCTACAGTAAGGCGTACTGTTGCTAAAGGAATCTGAAACGAAGAGTCATGCACTGCATACAAACATATATATAAATAACAATAGAGCGACTAAGACTTCACACAAAAACAAGTGATAGACTACACAAATATGAGCTCATGTTGTTGGTTGTCTATCGTTTTTCGTCATCAGTGCTGCTATCCATAACAGATAAACTGCAACCCGCACGATGCAATTTCTTCCCTTCTGTGAGGCTTATTCCAACAGCTTTAAACATCCTTAAGGCAACTGGCTTCACAAATGGAAATGTCATGGGTGTACGACTTCTTCTCTCATTTTTTGGCAATAACGACAAAGTTGACAAAGCTTGCAAGCCATGACGAATGATATTCTTCTCTCTCTTCCTTTGCGAATGTACATGTGTCATTTTCCACAGTTCTTTTCGTCGCCCTGCATGATTGACAAAATAAAACATAATGAGTTACAAGTCCGACTTTCCGTTGTTGAAACTGACTCATGAATACCAATACAAAACATATGGCAATTGCACTAAGTCTTCATACAAAACAATTGCAGTATTTCTTTTCAGAAAACGCACAGTTCCAAAGCTAGGTAAATAAACAATACAGCTGAGGGATCGACACAATGGGAGATGCGTGCATGTGATGTACCCACTAATCCACATATAGTATTAGATATTGTTCCTAAGATAAGAAAGTGCTCACCTCGATGGTTAACTCTTAGTTTTTCTTCAACACGACCTTCTGTCACACCTTCCATATGCAATGGCGCAATAGGAGATTCCTCGATAGCTATCATGAGGTTAGCAGACTGTGGTGTTTGAGGTTGTTCAAGCGTTTGTTTAGGTTGTACAAGTACAGCTTGCTCCGTTGTACTAAGGACTATATGTACTTCATCCTCTTCGATGCCGTGTACATAGAGAGTTTCTTTCTCCTTTACGCCCTCAAAAGTGTCCTGGAAAGTGTCGCTTACTTCGGCCTTTATCGTCGACGACGGCATCTGCAATTTCGTGAGTGTACCAGTAATATCCACTTCAATCGCGACACTGTCGCCCACTAGTATTGTAGTCGCCCAAACTTGGTCAGCTGTACTCACGCCCTCGCAACTCACACCGCCTTTTCGTCCCGAAGTTTTGGCACTCACACCGGCAATCGATCCCCGTTGCTGTGTCGGGTTGGACTCAACCACAAGTTTCTCCGCTCGGTCAAGCTGGGAGCGCTCCAATAGTGGACCCCTGTCGTGTTCGACTCGACCGTGTAACCCTTCGACAGGTGAAACAACGTCGATTGGTCCCAAAGCCTTGCCACTTGTATCGACGATTGATCCCGTTCCCACTGTCGGGTTCGACTCGACAGTGACTGCTGGACGAGTGTCGTGTTCGACACGACCTCGTGACTCTTTGACAGGTGAAACACCGCCGATAGTTGTACTGCCTCCCCGTGGTCCCGAAGCCTTGCCAGTCGCACCGGCGATCGTTTCCGATCCCACTGTCGGGTTCGACTCGACCGTGTGACTCTTCGCTCGGTCAAGCCGGGAACGCTCCAATGCGACGCCACTGTCGTGTTCGACTCGACCGTGGGACCCTTCGACAGTTGAACCACCACTCGATCCTGATCCCTTGCGCTTTGTCTCTTGAGGCCCCTGAGACCCTTCGACAGTTGAACCACCGCCGTTTGGTCCTGTAGGTTTGCCATGCCCACCGCCGCTTGGTGCTGATCCCTTGCCTTCTGTTGCTTGACGCCCCTTAGACTTTTCGGTTTGTTGTCGTTCCCCACGACTTGCGTCCTTGCCGCTTGCACCGTCATTCAGTTCCGTACCCTTGTCACTTGCACCGCTCCCCGATCGCAATCCTTTGCCATGCGCACCTCCGCTCGATCCCTATCCCTTGCCATGGTCACCACCGCCGCTTGATTTTTTCCTCTCCCCAAGATCTTCTCTGACATGCCAATAATATCCATAAGCTGGGCTGGTTTGTCTATCATAGAACTCTTCCAGATACTCAAGCCACTGCGATGTTTTGAACTCTTGGAAAATTTCTTCTGTTCTTTCATCTAGTCTTGATTGAGAAACCTCCGGATTAAGACGCTGGAGTCGCTTGGTAATCTGATTTTTGACATGTTTCAGAAAGTTCGATCCTGACATACGTCTGTGGAGGCAAAACTGCCACTCCCCTTCTTCTTTTATAACCATAACCCACCTCCCTCTCGCCAATGCAGGTTGGAAGTGTTGGGGGTGCCATATAATGTGATGACCCCATGTGGCATCATCCGTCACCGTATAATCGTCTTGGCACACTATAGGCCCCTGAAGCAGTCGAATGTCTGCAGGGATTGTGCCTTCAATCTCGTACTCCAAAGGCTCATCAGGTGGAGGTGGTTGTGGAGTTCGAGAGCGTAGCAATTCCATAATAGTACTTGGGTTGTGTGCAAATGGTGCCAGAATTGCCACCAACTCTGGGGAGAGCATTGCAGAACACTCGGATCCAGATTGCCTCCGGATGCCACCGTCATCGTATTGCCCGCCATCTGAGTCGGCGTAACAATAGAAGAAGTCAGCGGCTGAGTCATTGACTGACCCGTTGAACCCGCCATGCTCGAAGCTCCTCCAGAACCGGACGATGTGCCTGGAACACCCATTCTCTGCGAACCCGGGCTACAAGCTCTTTGCCTCTCAGCTGCCAAAGCCGCTTGCAAAGTGCCATCAACACTCTCTTCTTCTAAGTCGTCGGCATCAAAGTCCTCACCATCCACAAAACAAGTCGCATAACCTGCGATTATAAACGCCCCGATTTGTTGGTCGAAGTACATGGTCTCGAAGCGGTCGAGAAATGAAACCTCCTTCTCCGTTGGTGCTTTATGATAACCCCTCAAGAGCTTCTCCACTTTACTTCTTCTGAGGACATAAATACGTTCCCTTCTGTCTTGCGGCTTTGTTTCGAAGAGAAACTCTCAAATATTGACCACGTTTTGGCCAACCTTGTAGACGAGATCACGCCCTTCATCATGTCGAGGAGGCGGCTTAGTAAAGTTGGCGTGGTAATCTCGAGTTTTGACCATCTTGTCAATGAATTGAATGAGGAACTCGAACTTCATACCCTCCCCTTCCAGCACAATGCAATGACGGTGACTCTTTAACAACTCCCAAACCAATCCCGCATGACCTTTCCCGAGGAAAACAACAGCCTCATCCGCATGACAAAAATGCTCTAATGTCTCCACCATCGCATTCGGCTCCCTTTCCATACCATCATAGACCACTTTCTCCGGTGGATCCATACCTACCATTTTCCACTTTGATGGTAGAAAGTTCTTCTCCACGACATCAGTCAACATCTTCGGCTTTCTCTCTCTCCGCACAAGTGCCGATATGTCAGTCACCCGCTCGGCGGATGATGGACCTGCAACTTGAATATCTTCAAACAAGGGAATAGTGTTGTGATGAAAATCCCCGTCGTTGGAGTACATGATGACCACCATTCTGTCTGTGTCCTCCAAAGGCAAGTTTGCAACCTTATACACTTTCCCCTTTGTTTGTTGTAGACGAGTCCATTTGAGAAGATCCAATTGAATGTCCCACATTGCGACTCGCCTCAAGAATGTGAACTCGCAAGGGCGTGGAACGAAGCACAACAATGTCCAATACTCGCCGCCAAGTTTGTCCATGAACTTCTTGAGTCCAGCAAACACTTATTCAGTCCACGCACCCATCTGAGCGGCACAAATCCAGGATGGCTGTGTGGCACGTCAGGTGTCTGACGACTCTAAACATCTTCTTGCAATCCATCTCGTCTAAAATATCGCTCGGTTCTCACTGGAACGACACGAATACAGATGTCACGTCCTGTTTCTGGAAATGTATGTATCTCGCTTGTCCCGACATACGAATGCTATGCGAACCCCCAGTTTCAGATCTACGCAACAACTTGTTGACAAATTGAATGAACTATTCAGGGCATTTATTTGCAAGCGATTTTGTTTTCTTGAAGCCCTCCTCTCCTTTCTCATCCTCGCCTCCAAGTGTAGCCGAAAATGACCGCACCCAACTCGTTTCTTTGAAATGTCGTCGCTGGTCGATCCACCTCTCCGATGTCAATCCATGATCAGAATATCTCGCGAACAAATCAGAAAGGTTGTCGAAGAATGGTTCCTTCCACTCCGACGGCTTCTTGTAAGGGTCAGAAATGAAGACGAAGTAGTGAAACATTCTCAACATTGCTCTTTCCTGCTTCACCATTTCCACGTATGTCTCCATTGAATGTTTCTCGACAGTGTTAACAGCTTTACTTAGCCTTGGAGCCAATACGACACTTCCCGTGAGAATGTCTCTCAACAGCTGCAGCCTCTCACGCCTCCCCAACGTATACATAGCCTTCCATGATCTGACATCCGGATCGCGCACAGCCACGAAGTAACCATGTCCTCTAGTACCCTAAATCCAGTGCACTGGAACCCTGACTCCTTTTTCCAACTCGAATCCGGGGCCAGGTCTCAGCGCTTTCCCCGATTCACCTTGTTTGGTGGCAGGCTTCACCACATCTCTTCCCGGCAACTGTCCACTCTCCCAAGTAGAATACACTTGTTGCACCTTCTCGAACACATCGTCCGTCGCCCTTGCCAATATCATGCGAGGCCCGAGGACGTCGGACCACTCCTTGCTCCAAGGCTGAAGTGAAAGAGTAACCAAATGATCACTCCCGGTCGCGCGCAGAGCCATCGCCGCAAACTCTCTGTAATCCTTATTTTTGACGTCTGCAGCAGATCCGCCTATAGCTTCTCGACGACCGACTGCTTGCCACAACTTTCGTATGTTCTTAATGATAGCAATCTGGTGCGGAGGAGTATTCCATTTGTCCTTCGCATTTTGGAAAGTGCTCAAGGTGCAGTAATTTTTCATGCTCCTATTCGGATAGTAAACAGGCCTTGCAGTCCAACAATCCAAACGGAGCTCACGGGCGATGTCAGGGCGTTCTTGAGAACATTTCCTCGCCGCTGCAACATTGTGTTGACCACTGAGAGGGTACCAGTAGTACTTGCGCACGGATTGGAGATCGAATTCGCGGGGCGTCACTCTTCTCGCCCTCACATTCGTATCGGAAGCGTCAGTATGAATTGTATCATGTAGCCCAATCAACAGAAGGACAGGCTTCTCGTACAATGCACATACATTCACCCCGGCTGCCCCGGTCGTTCTCTCTCTGATAGCTGCCTCACCCGACTCAACCATTGTTTTGTAAAGGTCATCAATAAGCTCCCGATCGAGGAAGCGTTGATTATATCTGAATTTCTCATCAGGGATATCCAGAATCCTGTCCAACTTGACAGAAATGAACTGCATTTCCGGCCTCTGGTTACCATTCTCGTCGAACTCACGGAAGAAGTCTTTGCTCAGATGACCAGAAGAATTCCCATGCGGCAGAATCTGCAAACCGGGCGGTCTGGTGATTGTCTTGCCCACAGCGTCTTCATCCGACTGTGGTTGGTCCGGTGGAAAAACGGAAGTTTTTTCCATCACACCCCCCTTCGCTGCTTTTTTCGTTGGCTGCCATTTTTTCTTCATGGCCTCCTCAGGCTCCCGCGTACGTTGGACGGCCTCCTCAACTGCCAGCATTTTCAACTTGCGTTTGCCCTCCTCTTGCTTGGCTCTCCCCTCCTGCTTGGTTTTCTTACTGTCCATAACACTTCTCCTCTCTTGCCTCATCTTCCTTTTCTTCTCAGCTAGTCGTACTGCATCGTCATGCGCCGGCTCGACCCCAACTTCGCGGTGCATTTCCCCGCGCCTTAGATCCGCTTCCCAATGCCCATGACCCGGGGCGAGCAGCTGCGTTCGTTTGGAACCTCGATGCACATCTGCATACCCTCCCTCGCCGGTCGTTTCCTCTTTTTGCCCTTCGTCCTCATACTCAACCCCTAGACGACCCTCCAACTCGCCCGACCCACCCCTCTCGCTGATTGTTTGTTCACTCTTTACTTCCTCTTCTTCGCCATCCTCCTCACATTCTTCGTGTTCTTCATCGCGCTCCCATTCTTCTTCGTTGTTCTCCTCGTCGTCATCTCCAAAATAATGCGACCCAGCAGGAATGGCCAACTCATAGCGCGGCGGGCGGACCAAGGAAACGGGTTCCTTGGTTGATGTCGGTCTACGCTTCACAGGGGCTGACGACACGATTTGGCCGCGACACGGACCTTTCTCCCCGATCTACCCTGATTTCGGAACTCGTGTTGCAGCAACCGTAGTCCGAATTGATGGCGGAGGGCGGGCACCTATAATGATCGGTTTCGACGACAGACCTGCCTCCAAAGACGACGAAAGCACGCTTTTCGGTTCAGATATGCGGTCGGAAGCATGCACCACCGGCTCATGCCCTGCGACCACATGTCTGTCGAAGAATGCGAAAACCGATCGAAGGTCCGGCAACGTCAATTTATCAATCCCAGGCGGATTGAAAATGTCATAAAGCCTTTTGCCGTACCCAGCGTGTTTGGCCCAACGAAGAACAATGCGTTTGACATTCGCAATCCGCTCACCTCTAGCGTTAAGGACCATCGTCAACTCCAACATGGCGAACTGTGAATTTCCTCCACTCCACTTCACCACACCGCCAATCGGAACAATGTTATCTTTGATCACCACGTACAAAACCAGCCCACCTGAGGTTCCCCTATTCTACCCACCCAGTCCACCATCCAGCACTTGTCTTTGTGGTCGACGACAGGCACCTCGTCTCCCACACCTGCAGCGGACGTGTCACCAGACCTTTTACGCCTCGGCACAACGTCCATCGCAGATTTCCCCTGTCGACCAGTAGCCTCCTCTTCTCGACCCGCAGCCCCACCACTCATCAGCACAGCCGAATCCGGTCCCGAACCTCGAACATGGGCGGAAGGAGTGCCCGTAGAAAGTGCACCCCACAGCACCGGGGTTCGATGACCCTTAGACCCTGGTGTGTCGCCAGCCCCCACGCCAGCCGTCGGTGTCCCCTTCCGTTTTTTCGGAGACTGCTCCATGCTCCCGGAACCAGCACTAATACGTCGTTTGCTTGGCTTCCCCTCGCGATCCATGCCGAGCAGCTAGTCGCAACTTAAGAAAACGCACAAGCGAGAAAGCAGTCATTGCTTTGCTAACGTGCAAACACCTTAACACTTGAGAACAAGAGTAGACAGGAACACAGAGCAACTGAAGCGGGCCGCAGCCCGCCAGCTCGTCGTCGTTTCACTGTCGTGTCGAACTCGACGACCGTGCCACGACGTCCTCCAGTACCGTCGAATCCGACACGAGAGCGACATTGGGGTGTCGTCGTGTCACTGTCGTGTCGAACCCGACGGTACTGCGCGGGCTGACCAACCGTCGTGTTGGACACGACAGCTACACTGTTGTCTGCCGTGCGGCAGTCGACCAAGTGACCCTTCATGCACCGTCTGGTCGACAGATAACAGTGTCCATGTCGTGTTCGACACGATGGTCGCTAAACGGTGCCTGTAGGGGAGATGACCGTCGTGTTCGACACGACAGCGACACTGTCGTCCGCCGTTCGACARTCGACCAAGTGCCCCTTCGGGCACCGTCTCGAATCCGACACGAGAGCGACATTGGGGTGTCGTCGTGTCACTGTCGTGTCGAACCCGACGGCACTGCGCGGGCTGACCAACCGTCGTGTCGGACACGACAGCTACACTGTTGTCTGCCGTGCGACAGTTGACCAAGTGGCCCTTCATGCACCGTCTGGTCGCCAGATAACAGTGTCCATGTCGTGTTCGACACGATGGTCGCCAAACGGTGCCTGTAGTGGACCTGACCGTCGTGTTCGACACGACAGCGACAGTGTCGTCCGCCGTTCGACAGTCAACCAAGTGCCCAAGTGCCCCTTCGGGCACCGTCTGGCGACCATCGTGTCGAACACGACAGCGACACTAGGGTGTGTTGTGCGACATTTGCCGGGTTCGATACAATGCTCGGCGGACGGTGCCTAAAGGGGCACTTGATCACGAGAACACAAGACAACAGATCGCAGACACTGGTTAACACGGAGAAACATTGACTGCTGAATGTTTGTGCACGCAAAACATCAGAACAATGAGTTTTTTGTTTCCCGAAAGGAAACACAACATGAGAACAACAATCAAACACTAGGCTGGCAGCGATGTTTCGGTGTCCAAAGCCGACCAAAAACACGTCATCATTCCCGGTTTTCAATGAATCGAAAACAATATGAGGACAACAACGTCAAACGTGTGTACTTTTGGCCACTGAACACATGACGAGAACAACTAGCAGATACCGCGTATTGTTATCGAATAACACATTGAGAACAACAATCAAGAACAACTAGCAGATACCGCGTATTGTTATCGAAATAACACATTGAGAACAACAATCGCAATGCGAATTCCACGAGGCTGTCTATCGACTACGGGAAACAATCTCGCCTTTGCGGCCATTTCGGCCATTCAGTATGCCGTTTTGGCCATTCAGTATGATGAAGACTATCTACCGACTACGGGGAACAATCTCGCCGTTGCGGCCATTCATCACGGTAATTGGCGATCCGAAGGTCAGTTGCTGCGCCGTCTCAGCAAACACCGAAATGTATGTCATTCGCACGAACCCGGATTTCCCGACGAGAGAAACGCCTATAGCATCCCGAATTGAAACGACTTTAGCCTCGACCTCGCGCCATGCGACAACGTCCTCCACCTGGCCACCCACCACGATATCCAGTCTCCTGTCTACCCTTCTTTGAACTAAACACATATCCCTCCCTGACATAGACAACTCGTTCCTGGACACATACACGACAGCATCGGTCAAGTTTCTAGCCCTGCTTGAAACGATAATACAGAGGACCCTACAAAAGATAAAGTATGCCAGACGCAATTTCACACAACAATACGAAACTGCTCCTGGCGACAGACCGGGAGATCGCAACGGATAATGATCGATGAACTGAGAATGTCGCGCACAATCGAGTAACTCCTGTTTCATAACACGACACCAGGTGCGAGGCGAGGTTGTTACGTATTCGCAGTCCAAAACCCCCACAACACGGCTTATTTTTAGTTTTTTACACAGTAGCGGCAAGCGCACGGGACGCAACACATCGAACGACACGGGAATGCGTTTGCCGAATTCGGACATATTCGCGAACTCATAATCGCACGCCCACGGGCATCTCTCCATCATGTTCACCCACTCGCACTCCTCCCACAGGTCCAAATGTTTGTCGCCAAACGGGAGGATTATCATTCAAGGGTCGCATTCAAAGTCTTCTGGACAAGCGCCTTCATAGGTTACGCTACCCTGACATTGCCGGACGTACAGCGCGCAAGGTGGGAAAGGGTGTGCCTTGCGTGCACGCCAAAGTGTTGGGGTCATATTAGAGATCTCCATAGCAACAGTGAAGAGAAGACAACCTGCACGGCACAAAGGCAACGGTCAACAGCAGCAATAGAACAACCAACAGCAGCATAGAACTTTCAGCCCGCTCCCACCAACAATGGAACAAACCAGGCCGCACGACAGCACAATGCACAGAATCTATGAGCGCAATCCACACCCATGCACGGTCCATAGCACTGCACACAATCATGAACGATCCAATGACACTGCACCGCGCACATTCTCATTCCACTAGAGGACAAGGAAGGATCGTGTTCAACTCAACGACAGGGTACTCGCCTATCGTGTTCGACACGACGATCATGTTCGATTCGACGTTCGTGTCCGACTCGACAATCGTGTCCGACTCGACAATCGTGTTCGACTCGACGATCGTATTCGATTCGACGATCGTGTCCGACTCGACGATCATGTTCGCCTCGACTATCGTGTTCGCCTCAACTATCGTGCTAGACTCGACGATCGTGTTCGACTATCGTGTTCGACTCGTCTATCGTGCTAGACTCGACGATCGTGTTCGACTCGACGACAGGGCACTCGACGAACGTGTTCGACTCGACAAACGCAGTCGACGATCGTGTTCGACTCGACGGTCG